GTTTTTGACATGTTCCTAAAAGTAGGCTCATTAGCTCATAGTAATTGAATTAGATAAACATCTAAGTTAAGTCCCTTATTGTTTCAATGCGGGCCTTGCTGTTGCATTCAAGTTGGAATATATAGCACTCTGTAACAAGTACCCCGTAATTGATATTCTGAGGGGCATTTGATTTGGAAACAAAATTTTGAGGCAATTATAAAAGAGAAAAAAAGGGAAGACTCCCAATATGTATAATTAGAGGAAATGGTCAGTTCATTATGTCAACTTGTATGAGGTGGAGTAAAGATTACACCATGTTTCATTTGACGTTTGTAAGTACACGACCATGTTTTTTAGTGTTAATTGAGTACACTCGTTAGATTAACATGTTAGTACGGTCGAGTTGGCTTAAGGAATGTTGAGTAAGAAGGAGGTAATCGACCACAGTTATAGTGTCGACCTTCAAGAAGTCGACCTATTAGCACTGTTACCCAACTCAGACGTATTAACGTGTTAATCTAACAGATGTACTCAATTAACACCAAAAAACCGAGTTTGTGTACTAAGAAATATCACATGCAATATAGTGTACTCTTTACCCATCTCATACAATGATGAAATGAGCATTTCTCGATCTAATACAAGACGAGTTGTTATCGAATACAAACCAAACATTTGGTATACTCAATATTGAAAGAAATTGCACTTAATAGAAGTAAAACATAATGATTTAACTAAGTAGGGGTTATAATTTTGCTAAAAAAATTGGGGGTTATAATTTTCCACTTAAATATGAGGTAATACCCTCGTCTTGAAAATACTGCACATTAATATTGTCAAATTAGTGTGAGATGATGAGTCATCATCATTGATGACTACTCCCTCCGTCCCGCTATGATTGTCCCATTTTACCATTTCGGTCCGTCCCACTAAGATTGTCTCATACCTTATTTGGTAAAGTTTGTGTGGTTCTAAATCATTCCTACTTTATTCTTACTTTATCAATTCAATATCAACCACATAAACCCACTTTTATTAATAACCGTGTCACCTTCTCTTGTCCCAAACTTAACGGGCGGAGGTAGTACATTGTACTCGTATTTAGTAAAGTCATCTTGTTTTCCCCTTATTTTGGCAAATTTTTTCTTACAGCGGACGGAAAACATCTTGCTTTTACTCCTATTTTGGTAAATTTAGATAAATTTCCTTGATGTAATGTCACTAATGTGCAAGTTGCAAAATGAGCATAAGCTAAAGAAAATCACAGAAATATCGAATATGAAATCTATATCAACTACCAAAATTAGAAATAAAATGAAAAACGATTTTGCAATATCTATAAGGATGTTTCCCGACTGATTTCGGTTTCAGACCAGACCAGACTTGGACAATTTTAAAGTACATAGTAAATTTTAATCCAAGTAAAAACATGTAATTGAACGGGTAACGCTCCATTAATTAATGAATTTAATTAACCTTCAACGTGAGGGACTGAAAGAGAATGGAAGGTGATGAGGTGAGGGTGAAGATTGGCGTGGGATAGTTTGCGGCGAGCTTTTTCAGGGAGTAAGAAGGAGACAGAGTGGCCTCTTTTGGCGAGCTCGTTGGCAAGTTGGAGGAAAGGGAACATGTGGCCGTACGCCAGCCATGGAAACATGGCGAAGTGATGCCGATGATGCTCTCTTGAATCCATGCCCGCCGCCGCCGTGCTCCGCCGCCGGAACCGTTTTGTGCGTTTTCAGTTCTTTCTATCAGTACTGACTAGTGAGTAATAAGTAGTGGTGTTTCGAGAGAGAAGAGTACGTGTTTGATGCTCAGAGTTTCAGGTACGGTTGAGAATTAAATGTCAGTCACTCACGTGTCACCAGAGGAGGTCCTAATACGGAAAAATTTAAAGATTTTAGAATTTCTTTTACCCTTTTTAGTAATGACTGTTACTACATACTCCGTAGTACATACTACGAGTATGTAGTAAAATAAGGTCCTAACTCCTAATACGAGTATTTTTTTTTATCATAAAAAGAAACCGCTTATACTCCTTGTATTTATAAGTTCATTGGAATAGTATTGGACACATTATTTAAGAAAGAAATATTAAAGGAGTGTTTGGGTTTGCTTTAAAAAAGCGTTTTTCAGCTTTTGGCTTAAAAAAGTTGAAAAGAGTGTTTTCAAATGACAGCTTCTGCTTAAATTAATCACTTAAAAGCTAAAAGCTGGAAGCAGGTAAAGGATGCTTTAAACTGCTTCTCACTTTTTCTATTACACATAAAGTACTTATTTTACCAAACACTACCAACTGTTACTTTTCCAGAATCACTTTTTTCTCAAACACTACCAACTTTTACTATTAATCACTTTTCCCAAAATCACTTTAAAAAATCACTTTTTTAAAGTTGAAGCAATTGCAAACACTCCTTAAGAGTAGTGACATAGCAATACGAATCGCTAATCACTAAGCGGGTGTGACACATCAGACCATATATATAGATCCTTCTAACGACATAATATCTAACATAATTGTAAATGTAGATCTAAAACTAAAGACATTAACAAAAAATAGAGCAACATAAAACAAAACACGAAGATAAACTCACAAAAATTAAATAACTGGTAAATCTTTCAAACCCTAGCACCTCGATCGCTCCAAGGCGGCGGTTCAGGACGGGGGCAAACCGCTGATTTGTCTTCCCCCTTGCTCAACCCTTCACCTCTCATCGTCTTCTCGTCGCCTGTTCCGCCTCACCACCACCACCACCCTCTACCCATGTTGATTCGCCAGAAACTAACCCTTCGACCTTCTCCTCAGTTGCAGGAATGAGACAACACTGCTCTAGATCATCCATAGAAGACATGATTATCATTTCTTGAAACTTGGATTCGTTTCCAAAAACTGCAGCCGCACTCACGCTTCCTTAAAAAGCACTTTAGAAGTCTAGAGAAGAAGAGCCGCAGTCAAACAATTGCCGGAAGTAATGACTTTGTTATGATTATTAGGAATGATAATTGTGATGCTAATGAATATCCGCAGTGATTGGCTCTAGACCTCTAGTCAGTAATTTAGTATTACAATTTAAGATTTTTTTGAAAGGATTACACACTTCATACTTAAGGGTAAATGCGCGATAGTGACATAGGGTCCATCCATTACATCTGAAACGTTTAGTGAGGGAGATAAATTGAGTAAAAAGATTGAATGAGTTGAGAAGGAAGCTAATGAGGTAAAGAAAGAAGCAAGCAAAGTCGGATTTATGAAGGATGTTATGAAGAAATTATTCAACCTTATGGGAGATGATTTTTCAAAGTTACTCATGATTGAGAGTAGAAATTAAAGAGGGCAAGAGAATGGAGATTGTTATTTGAAAGTTAAAATTTTGAAAAGAGGGGGATTGCGGAACAAATATGATAAAATTATCTATGCATCCCTTCCCCATTTAATGAACCATAATAACACATTGGGTCTTATGTTTTTTTTATTGTTAGATTATTAGTTGCTTTGACATTTATAAAACATCATTATTATTTTAAATAAAGCCAATATTTATATTCACATTTCAATTTACATATCATCAAACAAATAATTACTTATTAATTAAAATGATCGAAGAGGGTATATCCACAAACTTATTATATCTCTAAATTTTTGACAAAAAATTAAAGTGAATGAAAAATTAAAATATGAAACAAGATCATTAATTTCAACAATGTGAGACAATATCATCTTGGTGTATTGTGTTTGATATTGAATTTTGAGAACTAACAATTACTTATTTCGAGCACATTCAAAGCAATAAAATAGTCAATGACTTTCAAATAAGCTTAAGTTGTGCACACTAGTCTTCATTGATATGTCCTACAAACAAAAAGAAAATTTGGTTAATACGGAGTACAATAACAACATTCATGTTGTAGTCCTAAAAGATTTTGGATTCGGCTAATACGCATCGATACATTATATCGGAGTCAAAAGAAAAAAAGAAAGAAAAAAGATAAATTATGATAAAAAAATTCAAAAGATGCAACAAAGATAGATGTAAGATAAAAATTTGAACGATGAGATAAAACGAATAAAAAGTATATATATAAAATAAAATAAAATAATATAAAATCAAAATGATAATGGCTAAAAACATAAGAAAGGTAAAGAAAATAAAATAATAAAGAAATGATAGAGATAATCTGCCACATGCATACTTGTCCTTCACTTTGCTTACTTCAAAGTGATATTCTCTTACAATCCAAGAAAAAACATATCATCGTTGTCTATTTGGGTCTTCTTCTCCTTTTCCTCCCCGCCTCGTTTCCATACCGTTTAACTCGTTTCCATACCTGTATCACTCGATCTTCAACACACATAATCAAATCACCGCAGTTGAGACTTCCACATCTTATCTTCAATAGATAATGCTCCTATTTTTTGTCTAATTGTCTCAACCCTACAAGAATCTTTTCTAGCATGTTCACATATCTAATGCAACATGCAAATCTCTATCATACCCATATTTTAAATGTGACATTGTTTCACCTTCCAAGACTCTACGCCATTGATTAATACGAGTACAAAACATAATTTTAAGGAAAAATTGAAAATAATAATCCCAACTATTGCCGGTCCGCTGAAAATAATCCCAACTATTGATTATTTTTGTATAATCCCAACTATATAGACTATCTGCCAATAATGGTCCATGACCATATATTACCTCTATAAAATGTGAATTTTAAATAGAAATTAAGCGTAAAAATTAAAAGTTGAGATTATTTAGAGGGATTACTTGTTATATCTCACCCCATCCACTTTAGAAACTACAAGAATTTATTCATAGGGACCATTATTGGCGGAAGGTATCTAAAGTTGGGATTATTCTGTAATAATCAATAGTTGAGATTATTATGAGCGGACCGCCAATAGTTGAGATTATTACTATCAATTTTTCCTTTCCTAATTTTAAAAGATTATAAAAATCTGACGTTCAAAATAATAATAACATCAAACGAAATACATACATTTATAATCATTTTTACCATCATACCTATGATTTTAATAACTTTTACCAATGAATAAAAATATTAGGGAAAACTGTCAAATAGGTCCTCGAACTTTCATAAAAAAGTCAATTAAGTCCTTCTATAGGAAACTTTGTCCGGTCGTCGCGATTTGGGGCGGTTCCTGGTGGAATTTAATTTTTTGATGAAATTTTTTTAGCATCTTATTCATCAAGTCTAATTTACTCATACCAAATTTCACCTAAATATTCAATCGGGAGCGCATTCAAATTAATTCGAGAACGCAAAAATGCGCAGTTATCTTCAAGAATTAATTTGAATGTGTTCCCGATTGAATTTTTAGTTGAAATTTGGTATGAGTAAACTAGACTTGGTGAATAAAATGCTCAAAAACATTCATAAAAAAATTCCACCGGGAACTGCCCCAAATCGCGGCGGCCGGACAGAACCTCCTATAGAAGGACTTAATTGACCTTTTTATGAAAGTTCGAGGACCTATTTGACTGTTTTCCCAAAATATTACCATCTCAAACACCTTTATCGAGAATATCATCATTACATTTATCATCATGTTGAAAACTACTACGTACTACGGTAAAATTTTAAGCCCAAATTTTAATAACTTCACAACACACAAAAAATCTTACAATCTGAAAGTTTCTTCATCCAAATTCTGAATGAATTTGTCAATGTAACCGTCGGCAAATCCATTGCTCAAAAACAAATCCCTCCACTTCATGTGGTTCTTCTTCAACAGACCACCCAGCTTGCTACCTTCATCCATGGCTGTCTTAACACCTCTGCTAATCCTCTCCTTTGAAAACCAACCATTTTCACCCTTTTCCATTTCCACTTCCACTGCAAGCTGAAGCTCTTCAGTCATGAGCCTGGCATTCAGAGCATAGTCTATCCTTGTTGGCATGAACACTACTGGGCAGTCACTCAAGAAAGATTCCCACATTGATGCGGACCCACCGTGGCTCACAAAGCACCCAATTGATGTGTGCATTAGAATCTGAGTTTGGGGAACCCACCCTTCATACAACATTGCCTTTCCTATTACCCTTTCCTGGAATCCCTCTGGTAAGGCTTCTTGAATGGAAGCTGTCCCTTTTGGTGGTTTAATGCCAGCCAGAAGAAAGGGTAGCCCTGTGAGTTCCAGGCCTAGGACAAGTTCTTGGAAATGGTTAATTTCAAGAACTAGTTCACTTCCAAATGAGCAGAAAACCACAGAAGCACAATTAAATTTGTTGAGAAAGATTAAAATTGTGTCATCTAACGGCTCTTTTCTTGGTTCGGGGAAAAGAGGGCCAGTGCAAAACACTGGTTTCCCGTAGAGCGTTGACAGGTTGTTGCAATGGACGCCTTCGATTTCTTTGCAGGTTCTCACTGCCAATGCATCACTATGTTTGGCTCCTGATACACTCTTACTGACGATCTTTCTTAAGTTGTTGTTCGGTTGACTAGCTAGCAATGCCAATGAGCGAGCTTCGTGTTCGCGAAGAATGGGCACATCAGAAGAAGGGTAGTTTAGGAGAGATTCTATAAGATCAGACGGTTCCAATGGCTTCTCTTTGTTTGTGGTGGTGAGCAGAGCGATTGCACTTGATGCAGGGCTAACGACACTGAAAAATACTGTCTTGCAGCCTATCTCTGATGCTATATTTGGGATCCAATCGGCAAAATCAAAGAATACGAAATTTGGCTTCTCCGCCTTGAGCACCGCCTTTACCTGATCCTGCATTTCATCCATGGCTAACAACAGCGCTATTGCATTATTCGTATCAGATGTGGTCTCAGCCCCATGAGGGAGACCTACAAAGAATAACATCATTCATTATATGTTCTGATCTGAAATCACATAACTGGGAAGGAATCAAAATATTATATTATGATCCATATTTTAAAATGTTATTCCCTTCATTTATTTGTTTCTCGGTACTCCTTTTATTATGAAAGTTTCTTAATGCTTTCTCTATTTCCTTGGCAACTACCACTTTACAACATCATCATTTCTTTCCTACATTTCCATAATTCCATATACTCCCCCATACTCCTTTTCATTTTTTCTTAGTGTTCGCTGCTCCTACTATTTTACTAGTGCAACTATCTAATGAAAAACGGAGTGAGTAGCCAGCATATTTTTTGGGGCACCTCTCAAAAATCGTTATACTAATGAAATTAAACCGGGCACTTGTATTGAAGACAATTCTCTATATTTCCAACTATACAGCTAGTGGTGTCTCCTCAGGCAATACATTAGTGTGATACGGAGTATTATACGTTTTAGGCCATGGCTACATGCATTTGTTTTTTATACCTTCTAAAAGGTAGGCTCATAGTAATCGAATTAAATGAACATATAAGTTAACTCCATTAGGGGGACTTGCTGTTGCATTGTAGCATACAACACTCTGAAACATTTCTGGGTGATAGTATGGACAAATAAACAAGTAATTGGCATTTTAAAGGGACATTTTATTTGGAAACAAAATTTTGAGACAATTATAAAAGAGAAAAAAAGGGAACACTCTCAATGTGTACATTTACATGTGAAGAAATGAGCTTTTATCAAATATTGTAAACAATATTGTAGAAACTGCCCCAGATAGGAGTAAAAACACGATTGTTTATCTCAATAAAAGTACTTCTAGTGATCCAAATCGCTTCTAAAACAGTTTTTTAGGAGTTGGGAGAGACCTCTTCTCAAAAATTGATTCTATGTTTACTTCTCCTCTTAAAAAATAAGCACAAACCGAATCAATTCCAAACACTCCAAAATACCAGAGGTATGAAATCTGTATCAACTCCAAAAACAAGTGAAGTGATAAAATGAAAACGAATTTATAATGAATCTAGCTATATCTGTATCTATAAAGTCAAAGACAACAAATTAATGCAACGTGAAATGCTGTCCCTTGATAAACTAACCTTCAACGTGAGGGACAGAAAGAGAATGGAAGGTGATGAGTTGAGGGTAAAGATTGGCGTGGGATAGTTTGCGGCCAGCGGTTTGAGGGAGTAAGAAGGAGACAGAGTGGCCTCTTTTGGCGAGCTCGTTGGCAAGTTGGAGGAAAGGGATCATGTGGCCGTACGCCAGCCATGGAAACATGGCGAAGTGATGCCGATGATGCTCTCTTGAATCCATGGCCGCCGCCGCCGTGCAAAGCCGCCGGAACCGTTTTGTGCTTTTTCAGTTCTTCCTATCAGTACTACTGAGTAAATAGTGGTGTTTGGAGAGAGGAGTACGTGTTTGATGCTCACTGCTCAGACTTTGAGGTACGGTTGACACTTAAATGACAGTGACTCACCTATCACTAGAGTAGGTACCTAAGAAGTGGATATTTGTTTACAATTGCTTCGGAAAAAGGAGATGCAACTAAAAAGTGATTACTAGTAAAATTTGATAACTTTTTAGAAAAAAGTAATTTTTAAAAATAAAAGTTGGAAATGTTTGGTAAAATAAGTGCTTTTTGTATAATAGTAAAAAAGAAAAAGCACTTTTCACACGCAAGCCGAGAAAAAATAAAAATTGGTAGTATTTGGTAAATAAGGGGGTGTTTGGAACTGATTCTGCTTCTACTTCTTTTTTAGAATAGAAGCAGAACCAGAATCAGTTTTCAGAAACTGGTACCTACCATCTTCTAAAAAAATTGATTCTGAGAGTAAATTAGAACACCAGAAGTGCTTCTGGAATTTCACCTAAACACTCCAGCTTCCGCTTCTGCTCCATGAAAGAGCAGAATCAATTTTGAGAATCAGATCCAAACACCTCATAAATGCTTTTTTAAGCCAAAAGCTGAGAAATGTTTATTTAAGTTGTTACAAACATTTCCTAAGCATGGTTGCAGTAATTGTTGGTGTACACTCTGAGTTACACCCTATTTATTTGTCATTCACACAAACAAAAAACGTACAATTACAGACACTTTCAATGAAACTGTCGGTGTAAGTAAAATTAGTTTCCATAACTGTTAGGCTGATTGCACGGAAACAAATGTCTGTATACACAGACATTTGTTGTCTGTGTAGACAAAAAAGTGTCGGCATGAAAAAAAATTAATTGGAAAACAAGTGTCGGCGTACACATACGTTAGCTGTCTTGTAAAAAAAGTATCTGTATATATAAAATTTTCGTCTATGTACACAGACACTAAAGCAAACCAATGTCGGTGTGTATAAACGTAAAAAAGAAAAGGAAGATAATGAAGATGATTAGGGTGAATAAAACCTAAAAAAAGAAGGAAAGAAGAGAAGAAGATGACGAAGGAGAAAGGAAGAAAGAACAAGATGATGAAGAAGAAGAAGAAGAAGAAAGAGAGGGGGGAGGGGGGTTCGTATGGTCCAAATGGGAGAGGAGGGGAGAGAAGAGAGTGGAGAGAGAAAAGAGTTGGGAGGGGAGAAATAAAAAAAAATGGGGGGAGGGGGGTAGGGGTGGACCGGTTCCGGGCCGGGCCCGGTTCGGGCCTTGAACCGGCCGGGCCTCGGTTCAAGGTAGGGGAGGCCCGGAACCGGCCCGGGTAACCCCGGGTCCGGTTCCGGCCGGGCCCGGGTAACCCCGGGTCCGGTTCGGGCCGGGCCCGGTTCTATATAATTTTTTTTTGGGTTTTCCTAATCAACCTCCTACCCTCACCCTCAACCCCAAACCACCCCAAACCACCTCAAATGGTCCAAAATACCCAATCCAACCCAAAAACTTAAAAAAAAAACATTAAATCCGGCCCGGACCGGGCCCGAACCGGCTGTGCCGGTTCACCAAAATGAAAGCCCGAGCCCGGAACCGGTAGTCACCGGGCCGGGTCGACCCGAACCGCCCATGGGCCGGGCCAGTTCCGGCCGCCCGGCCCGAGTTCAACCCGGGGGGTTATTTAGGGTGTACACCAAGGTGTATCTAAAGTGTATCAAAAGAAAAATTCAAAATATAAAGATTTTATAGTGTGTATTTTTTTTACCCTTTTTTTGTAAGGGAAAACTGTCAAATAAGTCCTCCTACTATGTCAAAAAAGTCAATTAAGTTCTCGAAATTTAGGATCAATCAATTGAACCCTCAAACTCATAAAATACACTCAATTAAGCGACTTGTAAATAACAAGTTTCCCGGTTATCCTCTTACATGGACTATCCATGTAGATTTTTATTTTTTTTCCTTTTTCTTTTTGTTTTTATTTTCTTCCTTCCTTTCTTATTTCTTTCTTGAATTCTTGCGTTTCCCACATTCGTTCGCACCAGCCACCAGAGAAAGAAATTCAGAGCTCTCTCCTTTCGCCTTCATGAGACCAATTAAATTTTGAATTGAAGCCATCGCCGGAATTGTAGCTTGTGGCTGCCATAGCCGGAGTTGCTGGTTGTGGCCGCCGTCGCCGGAGTTGCAGGTTGTGGTCGCCGTCGCCGGAGTTGCAGGTTGTGGTTGCCGTCGCCAGAGTTGCAGCTTTTGGCCTCCATCACCGGAGTTGCAGTTTGAGGCCGCCATTGTCGGAGTTGCAGCTTGTGGCCGCTACCGCCGGAGTTATCCCTCACTCACGTTCGGGCTACGGTGAAACACATCCAGATCTACACGACGACTTCTTGCAAGACTGATGGAAATAGAAGCTGACTGGATAAATAAATAAGACGGCCGCTGAACTAAATTGCAAGTGACGGCGAGTCGTGGGCGCAGACGGTGGCACAAAAGTGTGCTCGAAGAGGATGCGACAATGCTCTACATGAAGGGAATGGAGGATGCAAGTCTGCTGCACAGGCGGTGGCACAAAGGTGTGCTCTACGTGTGACGGTCGGTCAACCGTCGGTGCGGTGGGCTTGTGGCAGAAAGGGATACGACAGTGCCGCCTGGGAAAATAATGAACTTGGAGTAATAGTTCTTTATCTAGTGGCTGGCCTTTGCGAACAAATGTGGGAAACGCAAGAAAGAAATAAGAAAGGAAGGAAGAAAAAAAAACAAAAAGAAAAAGGAAAAAGAAATAAAAATCCACATGGACCGTCCATCTAAGCTGATTACCGGGAAACTTGTTTTTTACCGGTCATAAGGCTCAATTGAGTGTTTTTTATGAGTTTGAGGGTTCAATTGATTGATTCTAAAGTTCGAGGACCTAATTGACTTTTTTGACATAGTAGGAGGACTTATTTGACAGTTATCCCTTTTTGTAATGACTTTGTTATGACTAGAATTTCACCCGTGCGTTGCACGGGATGTGATTGCAATTCATAATTATTGAATTTTTTGAGAGAATATATACATACAACTGGTTCAAGTTCAAAGAATTCATAGGTACTGTACTTCCCTTTTATATACTCCATCCGTTCTAGTCTAAAGTTCTCACTTTCTTTTTTGAGCGTTTCAATTAAAAGTTCTCATTTCTATTTTAGGAAATAATTAAGGGAAAATTTTCAAATAGGTCCTCGAACTTTCATAAAAAGGTCAAATAAGTCCTCATATAGGAGGCTCTGTCTGGCGGTTGCGATTTGGTGCGGTTCCCGGTGAAATTTTTTGATGAAATTTTTTTAGCATCTTATTCATCAAGTCTAGTTTACTCATACCAAATTTCACCTAAAACTTCAATCGGGAACACATTCAAATTAATTCTTGAAGATAACTGTGCAGTTAAATCTTCAAGAATTAATTTAAATCTTGAAGATGAATCATTAGATCCAATAACATTGAGACATCTGAATGTGACACGATTATTAAGAAAAATAAATTTATGTGATTAATGTTAAATTGATAAAATAAAAATAAAGAATGATTAGAACCACATAATTTTACCAAATTTGATGTGACACAATCTTAATGAAAAAGACAGGAAAAAAATGAGACAATCATAAAACAGTTTTTATTTTTTACTTTCGGTGTAAAAATTATGGTCTTGTTTTTGCATACTTGATCTATTGAATATTGATATGTGAAAAAGTATATCGAATCTCCGTGCTCATATTATGATATTCATACAATCATACCACTCATACGCAGTTATCCGTATTATATAGTGATCAGTACCACACTACCGCTAACAGCTAGAAGGGGAGAAAGTAGAACCTCATTACTATTGAATCCATAATCATGAAGCACTTTGTTTACGAATAGGGCATGTAAATGTATAATCGTAAAGTCTATCAATGATTAAAGTCCCATTTAGTGATAAAATTGACATGAAGATTGAAGAACTTATATAGTTATATTGCTAAAAACTTAATTTGGACTACTGACATGGTACTAAAAAAACAATAATTTTTTATATATCGCCAATTAACAAACCAAAACGATTTACAAATAAAAAATGTATAGAAACGGTAACATATGGAATAAAGGATAGCAAATTCATTACAAATAGGAAAAATCGCATTTTTAGTCCCTGAAATAGTCACGAAAATGAAATGTCAGACCTGTATTACCAAGTATGTAAACGTCATCCTTCAATTGTCCTAAATGCCGTTAATGTAGTCCTTTGAAGGGTGAAATATACAATGTGGCCAAGAGTACATATCACCCCTTAAAAGGACCACATTTACAACAATTTGGACAATTGAGGGGTGACATTTACAATATCAGAAATACGGGTCCGACATTTCATTTTCATGACTATTTTAGGGACTAAAATTGCGATTTTCCCTTAGAAATAAGTAATTTAGAGTAAACATTTGATTTCAGAAATACAGATTTCTTATTTGATCTAAGGATTCATCTTTATAAACTGCTCTATCAATCTTCTAAACTTTTGGGCTCTCAAAGAAGGTGTTCAAGGACTCATAGACCAAACCCTCAATGAAATCTCATCATCGTCACCTTCACCGGTTTTGGCTCCTCAACTTCCAATCCTGCAATTTAAGGTCAAAATTGAGTGTGCTGTCATTTTTTACTTGGAAACACTTTCACAATTATAAATATCTCCTTAGTGTGATGCTGGAGATATATGTTTGCACAAGTCTATGCAGATATTTATGGCGTAAAAAGATTTGATGCCAATTCCTAATAATCCGGTGCTTAAAGGCAACATTTCAAATGTTAGAGTGAAAACTGCTTATGCATATTCAGGTGGGGACACACATAAACATGTAAACTAATACTATTAGTGTCACTGAATATAAGAATTCAGGATATGTCCAACTCAACTTACCTAGTTATTAAATATAAAAAGATATTTATTCTTTTTGGAAAAGTTCCCGAAATAGGACCAAAACAGTTTGAAAATTCCAAAATAGGACTGACATATTTTTTATTCCAAAAATAGGAGTAATTACTGTCATGTTTGGAAAATCCTGTCATGTTTGAAGTCTGATACTGTCAAAACATGAC